AGCGATGTTATAAGCGATTATTTACATATTCATATATACACATATATGTATTTATAAAGATGGATATGAAAAGAAAAGTGGATCTCCAAATAATGTGAAAAATCGAAGACAACAAGTTAGTTCGCGGTCTCGTCATCGAGAGTTGGTCCGCCATTGAAAGTTAGACCAAGGATTCCGAACTCGAACATTATATAACCAGTTCTACGCCGCCAATAATTTCTACTAAATACCGATTACCAAAGCTAGTATCTAACCTACCTAGTATCTACCTATGCTGCACACACTGGTCTCAACGTATCCACCAACCGACGGTTCTTCATCCAACTATCTAATATATCATANACCACCTCCTTCTAGCGCTGTAAAAATAACCTCGAACTCAAAAGTTTGCTTTACGTAAAGCGGTGTGCAGCCAAGAGTTTAACAACACTTTAGCTGCAGCGATAGCAAAGCGCTTAATAAAGCGCTGACTTTAACAACAACCCGATAGTATAAGCGACAAGTAGTTTCACTGAGGAACCGGTCCCTTCGATCACGTGACACTTCGAAACGTCATCTTGTAGCCAGCACCCCTAGCTGTCAGCAAGGAGTGTGGCTACAAGATGACGTTTCGAAGAAATGATAGTATGCAAGCAATATCGAATGTTAGGATACGCTGCTTATCACTTAAATTAAAACTTTATTTTTCACTCGAAATGTTCTTTTAAAAAATATAAACATAATTTTAAATAAAATTTTACTACATTTTTGTATTTTTACTATTGTTTACATTAAAGTCTTACAGTTCGTTCTGTGGAAATTACAGAATATGTATTATTGCAGTGTTATTTATTTGTATAATAATTTTTATGTAAGAGATGTTAATACTACAAATATAATCATCTACCGAAACCCTAAGCTTAGCAAATAGACACTCACAATTGCCGTAAATAATCGGGCTATAATTTAAAAAATTTAATACGATATGGCGCCTGGCGCCTCGTTCTAGTGCCAAATTCATTTGTAATTCATAATTATATTTCCAAATTATATCCCGATTATTTACGGCAATTTTAGGTTTATATTTGTTAATAGGGGAAGGTCGGGTAGTACCGGATACCTAAGCTTCTTCTATATTATAGAAAAATTTTACAGCTAAATTGGTCCAGATTACATTCCATACAAAACTTCATTGTCTTATAAAACACTTGTTAAAACTCATTATAACTTTAAAACACATAAATGAAATTACAACCGTTAAATCTGTATGTGTTCTACGTAGAAGCAATGTTATTTCACTACTGCACACAAATAACTTTAATTTAAAAATTAATTTGATTTCAAATTTGAGAAATTTCAAAACAACTTTTAAACGGTTTTAAAAAACAACGTTTTAGTTTTAAAATGATTTAATTTTTTAATATACGGATTCTTGATTGAGATATGGAAGTGCGTGTTTGAAATACCAAATAACTTTACACGAACTTTTGGCCTTGTAATTTTTTAAATTAAAATATAATTAAAAAATCCCCAGCGTTGTAACGATGTCAAAATAATTTTTAACCCCTCTTTAAACTTGCTAAAATATATTTTATTATATAGAAGAAAATGTATAAAATAGAAGTGAAGCGAATGTAAATAAATCAAGTCTTTATATAAACTGAAGCACACGTGTTAATATTATTATATTATTTTTTTATAAATGTCAGAGAGGTAACTACGAATTCAATTGTGGTGCTCGTAAAACAGATGAAAAATTGGAATAATAAACCAGGTAACGAGGAAACGTTTTAACGAGGGAAAATTCTTCGATGGCAGGAGAGAAATCATCATTGTCTAAACTACGATCGAAAGTTTCAAGGTTCGATCAAAATCCTTTGGAAAGAGTCGAAATATAGTGTCAGGTGAATATCAAAGATCGATTTTTCTCGCGGCCAAATCTGATCTATTTTCACTTGGAGACAAGAAAGTAACTAATCAAGAAAGAGCAGGATCTATTCGAAAAATGAAATTCAAACATATAATTTTTTAAAACCTTTAATTTTAAGGGTAAAGACTGATTTTCCTTTCCCCGCCGCAGTTTTACTTCCCCCGACATCGCGGATTTACTCAAAGAGAGATTTATTCGTTCGAGAAAGAACACACTTTATAATATGTTGTAAGCATTCCATTTGGCTCAAAATAAGCGGGTTAAACTGCTAAGATCATCCGCCTGATAATCCACCATCACCCATATCCCTTGTTCGTATTGACTTCATTTCAATTGGCCTCTTCCCTTTTTTCTCACCATTTCGGAAACCTCACAAACGTATGTTTCTATAATAAATATGTTCATATAAACATAAATAATTCAACTGTTTACCACCATCGCTAAATCGATGGATCTCAAAAATATAATTATAATCCCTTACAAATCCAAGGACTGACTCTATCAGGTTGCTATTTTCACCCAGAACTAATGATGTATATGGTAATAAATTAATTTTTTTCATATCCAAATACATAAAGTTGTCTTTTCAATACATAGAATATTTTAAAGGATTTATATCAAAATCTTTTAAATATTTTTTCATATGAATAAATTTAATATTAGTTATTAGTATTAGGATGTGCAATAAATAATATGTGCAATTACACAATACAAAAAACAATAATCATCATTATATTTAATAAACAATATTTATTAATTAATGTTTTGAAAATATTATGTTATCACATTTTTATATATATATATGTTGAGTGATCATATAAAAATATATTTTCATTGATTATCCGTCTAGATCCGTCTAGATTCACTGGCGCATTATCCTTTGGGCACTTGACTGGGACATTCATCAACAGGGGCCCAAATCAATCTTTTATAAGAAAATATTATATTCAAAATATTCCCTTGAAGAAAAATGGCTGAAGTCAACACTGTCCATCAGTCCCCGTAATTTAAACTTTCCTGGATTCCATGAAGCTACACGTGGACCCCTATAACACTGTTCATTTTTCCGTTTTATATGAATTCCATGTTGTATTAGTCACTTAGATTTTACAATTTGTAAAATCTAAGTGACTCGTAGAACATGGAATTCATATAAAACGGAAAAATCAACAGTGTTATAGGGGGTCGACTGTATAATGCGGCACAGTCAAGATCAAAATTGTATAAATCGATCACGACTGTAATCTGTATACTCACCACGATTGGAAAAATAAAAATCTTGATGAAAAGTCATTTTATTTTAGTTTTAAATTTACTAAAAATTTCATTTTAAAAATTAAATTATAATTATCCAAAATATTGTAAACATTGTGTCTAATACCCACTGAACATTGTGTTGACAACAACAAACTACTAAAAATGGCAAGCAAAGAACAGAAATATGAAAAGTAGACAGCCATGTCATCACTTTTTTCTTTCGTTTTTTTAAAAAAAATAGTTAATTTTTTGGTTTCTTTCTCAACATTTGATACATTGTTTGCATTTTTCATTTCATGTACGGTTTTCGTCGTTTAATATTATCAATGATTATTGAACATTCCATATATTTATTTTTCCGTATTTTATTTATACATGTGTAAAAAATGAAAAGCACGAGGGTCAACAGTGTTCACGGGGTTATCCTTAACAGTATACTGTACTCCCTTTTAGGCATTAGATGATAGCCAATATTTATAAAATTCAATTTTGTTTTTTCAAAATGAAATTAAAAGCATTCGCTATTTCGCCTGAGAGTAAGAGGAAAATTGGTCAGGTAAATTGTAGATCTAAAAAAATAAGAACAACGATGAACCCCGAGAGCATTGAACCCCGAGAGCATTGAACCTCGAATTAAGCAACATAGAGTAAGAATGGCTTTGTAAATGACTGAGGAACAGCATCGCGTCAAGCTCGATTTGAAGATGCTTTCAATTTTTCAATATTTATTTTTGCAATAAAGAAATATTTCGTCGTGTTTGGCGGGAGAATTTTCAGTGTATTATAAATATATAAATAAAGATACAGACTAAAGATACTGATACTGAAAACTCTATACGTCGTTTATGTTATCGACTTTAAGGTCACGTGATAAATTGAAACCAATCACAATGTATTGTACAACTGTGCGAAACTTGGGTACAGGGCACTGTCATCAAATTCTTATGGCGTCGTGTCTACCTGACGTCACGAATGTTTGGGTTAATCTAATGTATAATTAATACATTTAATTATACATTATACGTAGTATTAACGTTAAACATCACCGACATAGATTGTTATCAATAGATAAACAAAATTCCCTTATCCTAAGAAAACTTCCACAAATTATTCATTTGTGATAATGGTTAATATTGAAGTCTCGACAACTTTCTCCAGAGATAACATACACAATATATTAATATTTATTTCCTTTTATACTAAAGACCTTGCGTTCACAATGTTAAGTATCTTTAATGCACGTTATAATTAAAATTAATAATAAAAATAATGAGAAGTCCGTATTGTTCTATATCTTCTAGTACATCTATTAATGTAATTTCAGTTTAGTTTCTGTTTTTAATCTGCTTTTACAATTTCTCCAAAAATATGCTTAATTCTGATGAACGAGTTGATGGCTCAATAAACGACTTATAAAATAACATTCTTTGTTACATACTTCACGAACGTAACGAAGAATTTTTTAACGCGTAAATCGGGATTTCCCTTCATCTGCCTAATTAATTCAATCTGTTTTCTAAATGTCTTTTTGCATATTTTGCATTGATGTTTATTTCCTGTGGGATGAACATACTCTTGATAAGTTTGGAATTCAACTGTTGTTGTAAATTTCTTTTTACACTGTAGAAATGAATCTAATTATTAAAAGTAATCATCTACTTCTCTAAAACTTCTCCACAAGTAAAAAGTCTGTTCATATTGCTGAAGTAATTGTTTGGGAATCTTTCTAAACGAAAAGTTTTAAATGTAATTTCAGTTTAGTTTCTGTTTTTAATCTGCTTTTACTATTTCTCCAAAAAATATGCTTAATTCTGATGAACGAGTTGATGGCTCAATAAACGACTTATAAAATAACATTCTTTGTTACATACTTCACGAACGTAACGAAGATTGTCTTCTTTGTGAGTGGCTTCGTGACATTTTAATACATGTTTGTCGGTAAAACGTCTATTGAAATTCTCACAAGGAAATAGTTATATGTCTTAATGAATTTTCTGGTAATTAATTAAAGTGATTTTACTTTTAAATTTTTATGACAAGTATTACATTTTCAATGTGAATTTTTCAATGTGAATTTTCAATGTTCTTTTAGCGTGGATTCAGTAATAATTCACATATTTCCATGTTTAATACGACGATGGCTGAATAAGGCAGTTGTATTGGGGTAAACTTTTTTACATATGTCACAAACATACTTTTTTCCATCGCTATGAATAATGTTATGCTGTTCCAATAAATGTTTTGTCTTAAAATATCTGTTACACATATGACAAGAATATTTGCACTTATTGCTGTATATACGAATATGCTTTTTTAAACCAGCACTGCCTTTAAAACTTTTATTACATACCTGACAAGTGTAGTTAAATTGATTACTATGAACTACTTTATGTCTTTGCAAATTGTGTTTTGTTTTAAAATGTTTGTTACATATGTCACAAGAATATTTGTATTCATCGCTGTGTATATCAGTATGCTTTCTTAATCCATGAATGCGTTTAAAGCTTTTGTTACATACATGACAAGTATAGTTAAATTGATTGCTATGGACTATTTTATGAGCTTCCAAATTAACTTTTGTTTTAAAACTTTTGTTACACACCTGACAAGAATAGTTACGTTCGTCACTATGAGTTGCGTGATGTATTTTTAAATTGCTTTTCTGTTTAAAACTTTTACTGCAAATATCGCATTTAAAAGGGCTGTCTTCACTATGTGTTACTTTATGACTTAACAAAATACCTTTAGATTTAAATTCTTTTCCACATATATTACAGGCATGCATATTGTGTGTTCTCTTGTGTATTTCTAAACGGCCCTTACCATATCGAACGCGTTTACCACAAATGTCGCAATACACGTTTTCCCGCTTTATATTAGATTTTTCACAATAAATAAGTTTATGCGTTGGTAAATACTGTTTTGATTTAAAATGTTTGTTACATATATCACAAGAATATTTGTATTCGTTGCTGTGTATACGAGTATGCCGTTTTAATTGAATACTTAGTTTAAAACTTTTGTTACATACCTGACAACTATGGTTAAATTGATTGCTATGAACTATTTTATGAGCTTGCAAATATTTTTTTGTTTTAAAACTTTTGTTACATACCTGACAAATGTAGTTACATTCATCACTATGAGTTTCGTAATGCTTTTTTAAATACTCTTTTAGTTTAAAACTTTTATTGCAAATATCGCATTTGAAAGGACGGACTTCGCTATGTGTTTTTTTATGTTGCAACAAAAAACGGTTCAATCTAAATTGTTTTCCACATATTTTGCAGGCGTGTACTTTGTGTATTCTTTTGTGTCTTTGTAAACAGTCTTTACCATATGGAACGCGCTTACCACAAATGTCGCAAAACACGTTTTTCCGCTTGATATTAGATTTTTTACCATTTCTTGGAGATGAATTCAATCGATCTTCAGATAACTGCGTACGTAAATTCCTATGAGAGATTTCGTTTTCATTTCCAGTTTTGTGTTCTTTCGTGTGTCTTCGCAAAAGAAATTGCCATAAAAACTTCTTATTGCAGGATGTGCAGCGAAATGGTTTTTCTCCAATATGACAGAACAGATGTGTTTGTAATATTCTCTTATTTGTAAAAGTCTGTTTACATACATCACACGCAAATTCTTGTTTAGAATGAGATGCAAACATAACGTTGAAGTATTTCCTTTTAATCTTATCATGAATTTTATTGCACTTTCTACTCGAATGAACGTAGTTTTTTCTTTTGATATTATATTTAAATTGTTTTTTTCTTTCTGAATTTTGCTGAATATCGTATTTCTGAATTTGCTCTTCCTCCTCAACTGAAAGATCAAAAAATAACATAAAAATTACTTATAATATTTGAATAAACAAAACATTACTGCAATATTAAAATGTTACTGCTGTAGTTGTATAATTGATAGAGTATACCTATGTTGTTCGTTTAAAAGCAAGGCAAAAGAAAACGTGTTAGAGAAAAAGTCTATGGATTTTAAGTTGAAAGGAAAAAATCGGTGAATTTTTCAGATTTTTGAATCAAAATACAAAAATTTTTTAATCATATTACGATTTTCAAGAATATTTGCAACGTGTTTTTTTAACACATTGCAAACATATACTTAATTATGTCATTAAATAAGTTATATAGCCCTAGTTTACTTTTTTTGAATACATTTTATTATTATTATTTTTTTTTATTTTAGCGGATTAATGAACAAAGCAGATAACATGAATCATTAAATCACAACTCATGAGTTGTTATTTAGTAATTGTGATAATTTTAAAAAATTTTTATTAACTTCAAAGGTTATATTAATACGATATAAGTAGTTATAAATCTAATATATTAAATCCCAGTTAAATGTATGACAGTTGAAACTTGAATGCAGTTCTTCAGCCGTCCTCTGAATAATACTAATATAAAAAGTTTGAAATAAGTAACATGAAACTTACTTTCCATGTTTATTTCATTCCTGTTAGAGTTTCTTTCCGGAGTGAAGTATTCATTGTTGACAGGCTAAACAATATACAAACAATACATGACAATCAACGAATAATCATTTATGATGTATAAACCAGTAATGAGTTGCTGAACTTTCCCGGAAACGTTTTAAAATTTTCGTGGCGCTGTATGTAATAAAACGTTTTTTAAATAAAATATGATATTTTTAACTATTATAGAAAGAAAAAGAACTGAATTTTAAAAGTAGAAATGATTTTTATAAAAAAAAAAGTTTACTGGAAATAACGAGCGAAATCATCATTAATTCAGATCCTACTGGAAATACACACGGCATCCATTATTTCTTCACTTTCTTGATTTTTAACCAGCTAAATTTAATAGTTTCCATTTCCCTAATAATCAAAGTTTCCTGTAAAATTTCAGAAATTTTCTACAAAAAAAAAAAACAGGAGTTATTAAGTTTCAATCAGGATGAAGAAAATTTCCACAGACTAACGTTCAGACTCTGATAAAATCCACGATTTTTTGCATTATTCGACGTTTGAACGTGTTCTATGTTTAAAATTCTTGGGGAGTCATTTTTTGACCGATCGTCATACTTTTCCTTTGTTATAGGCTATATAATAGTCGGAAGAGTAATATAAAAGTCATTGCAGACTTTTATATTACTTATATTACTATAACAGCCAGGAAACTTACGCAACTCGTTGTTAGATTTTTTCTTATAATAATATATATTTTTTATTTAATACAGAATACACTTAAATTCAAAACATAATATTATATTACTGATATTGATATATGTTTTCAAACATTGAGAAAGCTAAGTTAATATTAAAATCTCAGGGTAATTTGTATTACTTATCATTACCTGTTCATTATCATCTGGATGATGAACAACTTCTTTACAATCCTCAGTCTTTACTTCAATCTTCAATCTTTTCAAAACAACTTTACATTCCGCTTTTATACCATGTTTTACTTTTTCTTTCTTGATATCTGTAGTACAGTGGCGTGCCGTCATTAGAAGCGTTGGAAGCGCCGCTTCCCTCGTATTCTCTAAAAAAATAAATACATATTAATTTTAATTATATGAAAATAATCGCACAATATTTTATTATAACCGCATTATATATCTTATTACAAATTTCTATACTACACGTGGAAAAAACCAAAATAAAAAAAATTGCTATTGTATATTATAATATTAGTGGCAGAGTGTAATCTCCTGTATTTTCAGATTACGAAAAGCCAGATTTGCGCATGCGCTTTACAGAACACCAACCTCACCCGGTTTAGCCGGTGGAAGCCTACGACCTTGGGTGAAAGCTGCACACATATAAAGATTACAATTCTATCAAGGACCGGTTCTGGGCTGTTAGCCGCCTGCCCACTAGATATTTCGATTACGTGAATAACGAGTAGATTTATAACTTAACCCAACCGATAAGAA